CCTCCCACACTGGATTTCCAAAGTGCTGGGATTACAGGGAGCTTGCTTCTTAAATGTAGTAACATCATTGCCAGAGTTTGCCTCTTAAAAGAGAACAAACCAGGACATTTCTGTCTCTAAATTCAGGAGTTATTTGTCTTTCAACTGAAGCCAAACCTCCTCTGCATGTGTTCCAGAGTTCAACTCACCCGTCCATCTTCACCCACTGTCATAAGTCCTTCTCCCCTACATACACCTGAGACTCATCCTGCTCCCCATTCCTCAGATGTAGTCCAGCAACTTTTGGGCACCTCCTATGTGCCAGACACCAGGCTGAACACTGGGCATGGAATAAGATCCCAACTCTACGCCCAAGGCATTCAGCAGACTGTGGAGACAGTTCTGTAAACAAGTCAAGATGATACAATGTGACAGGTGCTATAACAGATATAAGCAAGGTGTGCTGGGGGCAGAGGAGGAGGGAGTTCCTATCAGCATGGGGGAGGGGTGGAGGGAAGGGAGGGGCATTAGCGAGGGCTTCCCTCAGGTGCTGAGTTTGATATGTGGAGGAAAAAGGGTTACCTCTGCAGAGGCACAAAGAGCAGTTCATGAGGCTGGGTGACAGGAAGGTGGTAAACAGTGAAAGTGGCAGGTAGGAACAGGCTGTTTTGTGAACATGATTTCAGTGGGAGTGAGATAAGATGGGGACAAGGCAGAGGACAGATTTGAGGGCAAGGAGGGGGATGATCTGGATGAAGATTGTGGTAAGAGAATGTGGAAGAAGAGACAAATTCGGAAAGAGAAGGGCAGAGGAGAGACTACCACTCTTAAGATCAGGGAGTTTGGGGAAGGTAATTCCACCAGCAGCAGGAAAAGAGAGGGAGGAGCAAACTACTTGGGAGATGACTTTATTTCAGAAACAGTGAATCTGGGAGCTGGTGGGTCCCAAGGAGCATCCACGGGGAGCTTTCTGGTAGACAGAAGGAAGCTTGGAACTGGGAAGGGGGAGGCAAGAGCTGAAGATACAGATTTCAGAAATATCTTAAAAACAGGCTTATCCCTGGACTCAGCAATTGTACTTGTAGGAATTTCTCCTAATGGCTATTCGTAAATATTTATTAATGAATGAATGAATGAGACGGCGTTCTATGTTGCCTACTTTGGCCTCGAACTCCTGGGCTCGAGATCCTCTTGCTCAGCCTCCTGAGTAGCTTAGATGACCAATGTGAGCCACTGTGCCCAGCTTATGTGTAAATTTATCTACAAAAATGCTCTTTATAACAGTAAAGGAGTGGAAACTTTTTTAAAACTGCTATGACAGTGAAAAATGCCTAACAGTGGGGATTGGTTAAATAAATTATACCATACCCATGCAACGTAATTCTATTTGGACAGTAAAATGGATATTGTAGATGAATCCTTATTGACATGAAAAATCATCCACAATATTTTTTGAAGTAGAAAATGGTAGACTCTAAAACTAATTGTAGAGTGAAAGATCCAGTTATCATTTAAGAAAAAAATTAGGAGAGTAATATTTGTTCTTTCTAGGTGATATGATTATGAGTGTGTTTTCTTTCTTTTTAAAATTTTTTTTTCCACATCAGTCATACATGGCTTTTGTTGTAGGATGATTATTTTTTAAACATTGAATAAAGTAAAGAGGAATGACTTAGGGATAGCTCTGGGAATGAAAAGATGAGAGGATCAAGGATGGAACCTTGATCAATAGCCTTGATGCCTCTGGCCATGTGGCCCCCACCTGTGCAGTCGCCTATGTCCTGAGTGTGCCACTCTTGTCATAGCAGCCACATTGCTACATGGTAGAATACAAGGAGCAGACTGCTTGCTACAACTGTGAGCTTCAGGCAAACTGTTTTTTTAATTTTTCCTGAGACAGAGTCTCATTCAGGCTGGATTGCAATGGTGTGATCTCGGCTCACTGCAACCTCCACCTTCTGGATTCAAGTGATTCTCCTGCCTCAGCCTCCTGAGTAGGATTACAGGCTCGCGCCAACATGCCCAGCTCATTTTTGTATTCTTAGTAGAGAGAGGGTTTCACCATGCTGGCCAGGCTGGTCATGAGCTCCTGACCTCAGGTGATCCGCCCACCTCAGCCTCCCAAAGTGCTGGGGTTACAGGCGTGAGCCACCACGCCCAGCTGGACAAACTTTTTGATTTCCTAACCTCAGTTTTCTCATCTTTATACTGGGGAGAACCTTCCTCAGAATGGTTATCCGACAATAAAATGTTTACAGACATTCAGTAGTTGCTTAGTAAATATTAGTCCACTCTCCCTTTCTTAGGCATCCTTCCTTGGCAAACCCAGGTTTGACCTCCAAGCCTTTGTTTGGCCCTCACAGTGGGAAGTGATACCCCCCTCTCTGAATGCCCGAGGTGCTGTTTGGACTTCTGTCGAACCCCAAACTTTGCTCTGACCTAGAGAGAGTGGCTCACTCTTCTCCATCCCTGACTTGTTCCTGACTCGTTCGGTCATTTCTCCATCCTGGTAGCAACTAGCACAGTGCTTAGTACATTGGAGGTTTTCTACAATTTTTATTGACGAAATTTATGTTGCTTTTTACAACTTGGCTAATAGTGGAATATGCAAAGGCTGGATTACTCAAGAGTTAGTTTATTCTGACCTGTTGGAATTTTTCTCCTCCCAATTTGTAACTCTGGCAAGATTTATCTTCCAGTCTGCAGAGATGACCAGCAGAGAGAGAGTGAAAGAAGGAAGCTCTCTTAGACCTCTAGGCTCCCTGTCAGAAGCTCTGGGGAGAGGGCTGGAGGATGAAGAAGGGGAAAGTAAAAGTTGTTTACTCCCAGGCTGGATAGGGGTGTGGTCTCCCACCTCTCCAGGGTTAGGCCGTCAGAACCTCCAGCAGGACCGCTTGGGGGCAAAGGGAGCTGGGTAGATACATCATTCTATAGGCCTAGGTCCTTTTTGCCTGGCAGTCGAATCCTCTCCATTCCTGCCTCTTATGGCTGGCGCTGCGTATCTAGCCGTTTCCCCTTCCCCTGCTTCCCCGCAGCGGTCGCGCCAGCTCGCTCAGGTGCTCAGCCTTCCTGCTAACACCTTGTTAAGTTAGGGAGGCAGCCCGGCGCTGACGAAGGACCTTTGGGTGCCAAGTTAGGAAACCTGTGTGACCAATGCAAGCTGAACAAGCTCCCGGGGCCTCAGTTTCTGCATCTATAAGCTGGGAATAGCTACACGGTCTCTGTCCTGTCTCATCTTAGGGTTACTGATGGGAACCAAGTGAAATTTATGAGATTTGTGAACAGGCAAAGAGCGCTTTATAAAAGCCAGGTGTTTCCAGTGCTGACTGTGGGGCTTTCTCCTGGTAACTACTCACCAAAGCCTCCCTGTCCGCCCCGCCCTGGCTGCATCGGCCTCACCCACTGCATCACCATCTTTTCCATCACTGTCTTCCTGCCTCTCAGAGGTCCTGTCTCTTCATCTCCCCCGTCCATTTCCGGGTCTGGCTCTCGGGACCCTGCGACCCCTCCAGGGGCTCTGGTCTCCCTTTCCTTGCGGTAGTCGCTGCCCAGACGACCCCCACCCGGTGCGCCGTCCTTTGGCACAGCCGCCGGGCCACAGAATCGCCCAATAAGAGCGCCGGACTGAAGTCTGACAGCTCCAGAAGCGGCCAATCGAGCCGGGCCAGGGAAGGGGGGCTCAGCGCAGGGGCTGAAGTTGGGTTGAATGGGGGGAGGGGGATTAAAGGGGGATACAAAAGAGGGAGCTAGGACTCGGGGCTCTGGAGCCCCAGCCGGGGGCGGGGGAAGACCGCGCTCCACCCAGGTCTGGTGACAGGACCGCAGGCTGGATGCGGCTCCTAGCGCCAGGGAGGGAGGGGCGCAGCGAGAAATTTAGGTGAGGAAGGGGAGCTGGGGTGCCCGCGGCCAGGCCTGAGGATGCCCACGGGGCGCCGAGGCTGCGGCCGCGGCCAGGCTGGGGGCGGAGGCGGCCTCTAGCCGATGTGAGCTGAGGCCCGGGCGGCGCGGGGGGCGGGGAGGCAGCGGGAGGAGGGGATGCGGAGGGCTCTCAGGCGGCGGCGAGCGGGCGAGAAGGGAGGAGCGGCGCGAGCGGCCGGAGCGGCGCAGGGCCCGAAGCGTGCATGGCGCGCCCTGAGCCGGGCTCCCGCGGGCCCCCCCGGAGCGCCTCCTGGGCGCCGCGGCTCTCAGACGGGCCCCTCTGGGTCGGTTGCTTCTGAGCCCCGGCCCTCGATCTCTGGATGCCTTACTCCCTGGGAGAAGCCTGCCTGCGTTGGGGCAGAACGGCGGCAGCGGTGCGCCGGATTCCGCCCTCCGCCTAGTCTTTCCGCGCGGGCCGCGGTGGGCCGGCAGCCGGCGAAGAGGAGCTCGAGGCTTGCGGAGCAGGCGCGACAGCTCTCCCGGCCGGCGGGTCCCGGCCGGCCCAGCTCCGTTTGCTGGAAACGGGGAGGCAAGAGGGGAAGGGCCGCACCGCAGGACCCGGTCCCGGACCAGGACCCCGCCCCCTGCGCGGACGCGCCGAAGGCTCGGGTCGGCTTTCGCCGGGGCCACGCTTCCACTCTTGCCGCGGGAGGTGGGGGATGCGGGCGACGGCCCCCCCGGGCTCCAGGACCCTCCCCCCCGGGGCTCCGGAGCTGTTGCTCCGCCCGCCGCCCCCTCCCCCGTCCTCTCCACCTCCCATCCCACCTCCCCACCCCTCGTAAGAAAATAATGCTGGCTGGCGCCTGCACCTCCCAGTCGCTCCCAGTCCGCTGCGAGGAAAGGGCACCCGCTGTGTCTCCTCGCCGGGACCCCCGCCGAGCCGCCCTCGCCGCCGCTGAGTCCCGAGAGCAGCTGGGCTCCGCTTAGACGGAATCTTCGAGCGCCGCGCCCGTGCACTGCTGGCCCGGGGAGGCGCCGCCCGCAAGGACACCTCTCCGTTCCCCCTTGTCCGCAACTCCGGCCCTCGTCGAGCTCGACGCGAACCAGGAGCCCGGACGTCTCTCCGCGCGCGACGCAGCAGCAGCCCGACCAGTCCTCGCTGCCTCAGCTCGGAGGCAACTCCAACTCGGACTTGGGACTTCTGACGCGGATCCTCAGCTACTTCTCACCTCGGGCAGCGTCCTCCTCCTCTCCTCAGGACGGGGGTGCCAAGATGTCCCGCAGCGGCTCAGGGCCCCGGGCCGCCCCCGACGTGTGACCCTAGCTTGGTCCCCCTGCTCGGCGGTCCGCCCTCCCCTTGGAGACCCCCGGCCCGGCTTCCGGGGGAGGAGGGAGACGACGAGGCCGACGGGGGGATGTCCGGCTCCAAAAGCGTGAGCCCCCCGGGCTACGCAGCGCAGAAGACTGCGGTGGCAGCGCCCCGGGGCGGCCCCGAACACCGCTCAGCCTGGGGCGAGGCTGATTCCCGCGCCAATGGCTACCCCCACGTCCCCGGGGGTTCGGCCCGAGGCTCCACCAAGAAACCAGGGGGGGCGGTGACCCCGCAGCAGCAGCAGCGCCTGGCCAGCCGCTGGCGCAGCGACGACGACGACGATCCTCCGCTGAGCGGCGACGACCCCCTAGCCGGGGGCTTCGGTTTCAGCTTCCGCTCTAAGTCCGCCTGGCAGGAGCGCGGCGGGGACGACTGCGGTCGCGGCAGCCGCCGGCAACGGCGGGGCGCGGCCGGCGGGGGCAGCACCCGGGCGCCCCCTGCGGGCGGCGGCGGCGGCTCGGCTGCGGCGGCGGCCGCGGCGGGCGGGACGGAGGTGCGCCCCCGTTCGGTGGAGGTGGGCCTGGAGGAGCGGCGGGGCAAGGGCCGCGCGGCCGACGAGGTGGAGGCCGGCGCCGTCGAGGGCGGCGAAGGGTCCGGGGATGGCGGCAGCTCGGCGGATTCGGGCTCCGGTGCGGGGCCAGGCGCGGTGCTGTCCCTGGGCGCCTGCTGCCTGGCGTTGCTGCAGATATTCCGCTCCAAGAAGTTCCCGTCGGACAAGCTGGAGCGGCTGTACCAGCGCTACTTCTTCCGCCTGAACCAGAGCAGCCTCACCATGCTCATGGCCGTGTTGGTGCTCGTATGCCTGGTCATGTTGGCCTTCCACGCGGCGCGGCCCCCGCTCCAGCTGCCCTACCTGGCGGTGCTGGCGGCCGCGGTGGGCGTGATCCTCATCATGGCTGTGCTCTGCAACCGTGCCGCCTTCCACCAGGACCACATGGGCCTGGCCTGCTATGCGCTCATCGCCGTGGTTCTGGCCGTCCAGGTGGTGGGTCTGCTGCTGCCACAGCCTCGCAGCGCCTCCGAGGGCATCTGGTGGACCGTGTTCTTCATCTACACCATCTACACGCTGCTGCCCGTGCGCATGCGGGCCGCGGTGCTCAGCGGGGTGCTCCTGTCCGCCCTCCACCTGGCCATTGCCCTGCGCACCAACACCCAGGACCAGTTCCTGCTCAAACAGGTAGGGGCCCACTTGGCCACCGGGACTGGATTGCGGGGCAGGCAGGCCTCTGCTTGACTCCAAAGAAAAGGATCCCACCCTTACCCTTTAGAATGGTGAAAAGAGCCAGAAAGTCAAGGCTTGGCCATATAGACTGTCTGGGAGCTTTGCACCCTCCTCTGAGCCCCAGCAGCTTCGTTTACAAAAAGACTCCTCTTGTGTCGTTTGCAATGTTTCTTGCCCCATAGATAATGTACACTGTGGGAATGCAGTGAGCAAGGAAGGTTTTGGAGGAGAAAATTGTATGGAGTGGTCTCCATCTCTTCCTGAGCTTCTGTTCTTGCATACAAAAGGCCCCTAACAAAACTGGCAGGACCCTCTAGCGGCCACCCCCTCCTAAGCACCACTGCTGCTTTGTTAATCCAGCCCTGGGTAGAAGGTTGGGGAGGGGACACCCTGCACCCCTTGCTCAGTGCTAAGGAGGAGATAGCAGGAACCTGCCACCTGTCTGAGGCTGGGGATTTGAGAGCTGGATATATCCCTGAACTTGCAAGAGGACTGACAAGTTTGTTTCAGTTAGCAAAGTGCCCCAAACCAAAAAGCTGCCTTTAGCTAAAGTGGGAAGGAGCCTCTGAGATGTGTGTGGTGGCAATTCCTCTTCTGGCCTGAGCAGAAAGCTGGTGTTGAACATCATGACCCTTTCAGGTGGGTGCTCCTGGTCATTGCTTGTGGTGGGGGCATTTTATCCCTGCTGGGATTTGAACTATAGGTTCAGGAAGAAATACAAGTTTTGCCTGGTTAACTGGCTTCTGGGAGAGGGGCATGTTGGCAATCCTGACCTCAGGGTGAGAGGAGCCCCTGATGTCCACACCATCTCCCTTTAGTGTCCCGTGGTCTGGTTTCATGGTCCTCATCCGTGATTGCTTCTGAACCTGCTCTTTTGCATGCTGCTCCACTCTGAGAGTCAGCTGGGCCCTTGCTACAGGCAAGTTTCTTCACCTTGGACCCCAGTACACACATGCCTCAACTGGTGTCTGCTTTATCTAATAGAACCTATTAAGGGTATTCCATTATTGTTGCCTTCCTCCCTCTCCCCTCTTCTGGTACTTTCCCTTAGACTTTTATCCTCTTGAGTACTGCATCTTGAGTTGTTCTCCTGTGTCCCCTGGCTTCCTGGACCCAGTATTCTCCCATAGTAATTAGCATTGGTATGGCTTTCAGGGCTCTGGGCTCTAGCTGAACCCGCAAGGTGCTCTGTGACTGGGAGGGAGGGGCATGCAAGCTCTCTGGGCCTTCGCTGCCTTTTCTAGAGAATGAGAGGATTGTTTATGTCCCTTCCACTTTTAAGGTCCTCTGCCCCAAGCCATACCTCCCTACAGGGAGCCTTCTTCCATTCCAGCCACACTGGCCTCTTGGTCTTCTGCATGATTAACAATAGAGTCATAGCCACAGAGTGGAGCACTTACTTGTAATCCAGGGTCCACTGATTTTGCTGTCTATCCAATGTAACCTCCTTGAAAGCACAAATCCCAAGGTATATGTGTTTTTCCTTCTCCATTCTCTCTTCCTTGCCTAGGACAGTGCAGAATACTTAGTAGGGCTTTAATAACTGCTTGCCAATATAGTTGGGGTCCAATGAGTGGAGTAGGTGGGGATGTTGATGCTAAGTTAAAAGTTTCTGATCTGGGATCAGAAGAAAAAAAAAAATCTTTAGAGACCAGCTTTGAGCTCAAGAGAGAAACCTTTTGAGAGGTGGTGGCGTAAAAGTTACTACCACTGTTAGTGCTTATGAGAGCCTCAACTCTTTTGACCTGAGGACTCTTGCTTTCAGATGGTCGTTGTATCTTTGGGGACTGCTCCTGATTTGGGTGGATTGTAGCTTTTCTGCAGAGGAAGGGGCATGTCATCGGTATGGAGATTTTCAGGATAGTTCAGGGTATTTTGTGAACCAGACTTGGGACACAAGGTCTGATTACAGATGTAGGTATGTTTTCTCCTGAGGGAGGTTGGAGTCAGATCCCAGGAAAAGGGTGCTGAACCTGGGGTGCCCCTATTCCATCTTAGCATGAAAATACCCTTGCAGCAACAGAGAGTGTCTGACTGACTTCCCCTTCTGGTTCCTTAGGCAAATCCCTCTTCCTTCTCTCCCCACCCTCACTGGCTCCCACCCCATTCTTCTTTTACCCGTTGTGGTCTTTAGACTTTTGCAAGGCTGTGGGATTTTGGGTGGATTTACACTTACTTTATATGATCTGTCCTGAGTGGTGCAGAACTTGTTATGAATGGTTCAAGACAAGGAAATGCAAACATTTCCTCTATTTGGCTTCAGAGAAAACCGTATCTTTTTTTGTTTGTACTTGATTTACCCTTTTGATTATGCTTCATATAAAATTTGTCTTTCTTGAACAAACCGTGCTGGCTGACGGGGGAATATTAGTGGGACAGTCTAGCATTAACCTCTGCTTCAGTTTACCCCAGAGCAGCAGGCATGTGAAGTGGTTTGGATTAGATGCCTTGTTCTTTTCTTTGAGGAAGACACACATGTCCAGGGAAATGGGGTGGCAGTGAGCAGTTCCTATGTTAGGGCTTTGGGAATTCTCCCCTCAGTGGCTTGGGCACATAGTAGGTCCTCAGTAAACTGGACTGGCATTTCTTTACTGCTCCTCTTATAAAGCTGGACCCCCTCCCCCTTAGCTGAGGTTCTCAACATCATTATCTGACCTGTGTATTTTATTCTTCTTCAGATTCTCTCTTATGTGTGGGGCTCTGCCCTTGGCTCCCACTAGGAGAAGCATTTGGTTTCTTAACTGGAGGCTCCTGATGGTTTTGACTCAAGGGAGGAACAGGACACAAAGTGCCGCAGCCCCTCTTAGTGGGATGGTGCTTCTTCCCTTCTCTGTCCCTGTGGATCTGTCCCTAGTGTTTGTCACCCTCCCCCTTGGCTCCTTATCTCTCTCTGCCTGCTCCTTTCCTCTCTGACTTCCTTTCTCTTCCCTTTCCCTCTGGTCCCTGTTACTGTCTGCCCACCTCACCTTTCCACTGCCTTCCTGCAGGCTCTTTTTTCCCATCTCTCCCTCCCCATTTGAGGCCTCTCTGCCTCTTCTGTGCTCTTGTCTCGCCGTCGTCTCCTGTCTCCTCACTGGGGTATATAGTAGGAGCGTCATGGGGTTGTTTTTTTCTCCTCTTTTGCCTGTTAGAAGTCCCTCTGCTCTTCCCATACCATAAATAACACTGGAGCATCTGCCAAACACATTCCTCACTTGTGTTAATAGGCTGCAATGATGCCGGAGCCTGTCGCCATGGCAACCTCATTTTTGTTTGACTGTATCCCACTCTGCTACATAAAGCTTCAGCACGCAATCACACAAAAACAAGCATGCTCACACAACTATTACATATGCTAGCTATTAATGATTATTTTGGAGAAGGCATCTTTGTGCCCTGTGTGGGCAGTGGTCATTTGCACTTCAGGAGATGAGTAGCTCTACCATCCGGTCCGGTGTGACTCTAGGTGATAATGGATGGAAGAGCTCTTTGAAAAGTGGAGAGTCCTGTTCAAATATGTAGTATTATTGTTACGCATCCATATTCAACTTTCCTGACATGGTTTCTAGGAAGAAGATTCTGACCCTCTGTGGGTTTCTGTGAACGTGGGGGAGCCGCTAGGGGTTTTTCCTGCAGTGTGGGACAACCCATTTTCCACCCGACCCTGTCTTTCTCCAGGTTCTTATGCCCTTCCCCCTACCCCTTTCAGAGGAGCTCAGTGATTTCCTGCATTTCTTCTTTTGTGCCTGTTTGAACCTACAACTGTCACCAGTTGTTCTAGTGATCAGAAAGGCACAGGCGCTGTGTGGGTGAAATTCTGTGACTGTGAGCACGTGTGTCTGTAGTGAGGAGGCAAGGGAGTGGTGGGGGTGGGGATGTGGACTGAGAAGCAAGGCTGTGGCTGCCCAGGGGTGCATGTGTGTGTGTGTGAGCATGTGTGCATCTGTCTATAGGGCACAAGCCTGACCCAGGTGGTACACGTGGCCCTGGGAAGCCTTTGTGTTAATTTTGAAAGGAGATCATGGCAGCCCTTTCCTGTTTATTCTTGGCTGGTAGTTGGCTTCCCCTGGCCGTTTGCTTTTTTGGTCCTGGGCCTTGATGGTTCTTGACCTCTGGCTCCCTAGGGAAGTACCTGGGGCTCTTCTGACTCCATGGAGTCCCTTTCTTCTCTTTCAAGGATCTTCCTGCTACCCACCTGCTCAGCAGCCCAGTGAGCCCTGCTGAAGAGCCACCACCTGGTTCTGGAACTTGGCCCAGAGGCCTCTCTGGCGGGTCACTCTGGCTGCCCCATGTGAGATGCTGGGTGGCGTGGAAGAAGACACACTGTCACCCACAGGCCCAGAAATTGTCTGCCACCAGTTACTTCCCCTGTCACCTGCATTTCTGGATAGAAGAAATTTGGTGGTGAACTTCACCAGCGGGCTTAACCCCAGCACAGCAGCAGGCTGGGGTTGGGGGTTGGCTTTGGGTTTGGAGTGGAGGAGGGTCTGCTTGTCTTGCCTCAAGACTGACGGTATTAGCTGATTATATTTGCTGATTGTTTTTTAGATTGCCTCTTTCTCTAGAAGTTAGGAGGGGGTTTTGGAAAGGAGCAGATGTGGAGGGGAGCAGAAGTGACTGGGGTGGGGTCATCTTCTAGATTCCTAAGATGCGTTGATCCCTGGGGGAGGACTTCGGGAATGTCGGAGTCTCGGTGGAGGAGCAGACTGTCCAGCTGCTGTATTTGCAGGAAGGTTCACTGTTAATAATGCAATCTAAGTGTCTGCAGCAGGAGCAGGAGGACTGTGTGCTGTGGAGCACAGAACAGTGTGCTCACGTTTGTCTGTAAAGAGGACATGGATGATGCATTAACATCATCCATCACAACCCTGCAGAGAGTTTCAAAATCAGTGTGGAAAGCTTGGATAGGAACTCTCCTGTGCATTCAAGCTCTGGCCATGAGTCCCTCTCATGGGGTGGGGAGGGGGGTGCAACTG